TACAATCTTTAAAAAAAAAAAGAAAAAGAAAGAAAGAAAAGAAACATGCTTAGAAAACATAGGTCTCAGACCCAAAGAAGAAGAAGAAGGAAAGAAACATGTTTAGAAAACATAGGTCTCAGACCCAAAGCATTGACATGATTTTCTTCAGTCACGACCACCTGAGCAGTCCAACTCAACAAGGGCATTTCAATCATAACATACAAAGTTTGGAAATACTACACAATTGAAGCACCAATTTAAAAAATACTCTGAAAGTTTCAACTGTTTTTGTCCAGAAGAAAAAAAAATGGTAAGAAATTTATCTTAGCATTAGCTGCAGTGGAAACAATGTCTGTAAGATCAAGTTAAAATCCCTATTATCTTATCCCTGTATTAGGTGTCGCGGCTGGAACGTTGTCTTTCCTGGGTTATCCTCCAGGGACAATCTGGTAAGACCTTAGGCAGAATGACACCACTAGATGTTTTTACTGCAAATAGAACTTAGAATAGCCCTTATTCCTTAATGTTCAGTTGGAAAGCAGTGAGCATTGATGAGGATCCTAGGATGCTACGTGAGGAGACTTGGAGAAAGTCAGTCTAACATAAAGGGATCCAGACCGTACTGGAGCAAGAACCATGCTGGACGTAGTCAGACACCAGAGTTGGTGATGTGCCGGGCAGACTGCAAGAAGGAAGAGGAAACGGAGAGGAAGCATCTGTCCACGGCAGGGATGAAGGACACCGATGATGAGGTGACATCTGAGTCCGTGGAAGTCTGCCGTGTGGATAAAGTGGGGTGTGTGTTAGGATGGGGAGTGCTGGGGCAGTGGGGATGGGCACACGGCATCCCAGCACCTACGAAGTGGGAGGTGTGAGAGTCACACTGTGTGTCCCCTTGTGAGATACTTTCTGAGAGTCCATCAGTCTGCATGAGACCCCTTGTACCTTGTCCTACGTGTGTAATTTATTGTAGTTATCACTGTGGTAACTAATGATTTGTGTGTCTGTTGGCTTACGATGGGCTTCTCCCTGCGACTCGAAACCCCACGAGAACCGGTATTTGCTGTTGTCAGTGCCCTTCTGCTCCCATGGCTGGAGCAGGGTAGGGTATAATATATATTTGTGGGATGGCTCACACGTGAGTGAATGAACGCATGAATGAATGAATGAATGAATGACGTGTTCCAGAAGGACAAAAGGTCCAAGAAGGAAGAAGGAGCCCTGATGTGTGGCAGCGGTGTTAGGGACAAGGATGAGGAATAAACAGATTTGGAAGGTATTTTAAGGAAGAAGTAACAACACCTGATGACTGCAGGAAGCTCAGGTTTCTAGCCTGGGTGGCCGGTGCCATTTCTGTCTGAGACAGAGCAGAGAGGAGGACCAACAGGTCCCAGGGTGTAGGTGACTCTTCAGGAAGCCTGTGTAAGAGAAGCCACAGAAAGACACAGACCCCTAAATACAGACTGCTGGTGGCCAGAGGGATGGGGCTGAGGTGGGGGTGGGGGGAAGAGGGGGCGAAACAAGCCTCCAGTGATGGAATGACTAGGTCACAGGGACG